TCGGATACTCAGATATAGGGGCTAATGATTTTGATTGGATTTTCACATCAGCGGTAGCCGTTCATGTACTTGGGGGGTCCTTTGTTCACATTCATAGACAGTTTCACTTCCTTCCATCCATCCAAATCAACAAAAATCTCCGTCGTAGACGAAAATCTTACGTGACCACTAACACCATTAAAAATGACATGTGGATATTGTTTACTCTAATTAAAACGCATTCTTTCCAAAAATTGAATGAATCGTTATTTTCATCATTCACAGTGTTTTCTCTTCAATATAACACTTTCTCCCCTCTATGAAAACCTAATTGATTTTCCCCAAATAGTTTTCCATCCAAAATAAAGAAATGTTGACGACGTGATTATATTTGCCAATGGCCAGAAGAAGTCTATCGAAAGGTTCCTCGATTGTTTGGAGCACTACGGATAGGGTCTCTGGCCAATTGATGAATAGAGACAAGAGTGGTCTTATACTGCATAGGTGGGCATCGGATACTCAGATATAGGGGCTAATGATTTTGATTGGATTTTCACATCAGCGGTAGCCAAAGTACATGAACCCCCCAGGAAACATTAAGGGGGCTAAGAGGAGTTTTCTCTTTGACGACATCATTATGAAGGTTATGAGCAGGATTTCAGGATGGGCATCGCGACTTCTTTCTTTTGGTGGCTGGATTACTTTGCTGATGTCAGTTTTCTCCTCTTTACCACTATATATTTTCCAAAGTATTAGTCTTCCCACGGCCGCACTGAAAAGGTTGGAGAGCATATTTGCGCGATTCCTTTAGGATTCCAAGGATCATGCGCATCGCTTACATTGGATAAGTTGGATGGAGATTTTTCTTTCTACTGACGAGGGTGGATTGGGCTTCAGGAGATTACAGGATACGGTTGACACATTTTCCCTAAAGCTCTGGTGGCTATTCAGGTCTCAGGATTCTCTTTGGGCTCAGTTTTTACTGGGTAAATATTGTAGAGGGACATGATCTTAGATTGGGCTTCACCATTATTATCACCGGGTGGTCACATTTTGCTTGGATCAGTACTTTCTTCTCTACTACTACATCTTCTTCAGATTATGTAGCCTCCCAAGGCTGTACTGAAGAAATTGGAGAGTATTTTTGCACGTTTCCTATAGGACTCCAAGGATCAGGTATGCCATTTACATTGGAGGAGTTGAAAGGAGATTTGCCTTCCCACTAATAAGGGTGGCCTAAGTTTCGGGAAATTACAGGATTTGGTGGACACCTTCTTCATGAAGCAATAGTAGTTGTTCCGATTACAAATATTACAGGGGCAGAACACAGGCACGTTGTGATATACGAAGGTACCAACGCAGGTACACAAAGGTAACAACTCGGACACATCTTGGTACCAAGTCGCACATCATGGCACACGAAAACAGCAATGTAGGCACATCTAGCAAATAAAGGTAGCAACATAGGTACACAAAGGTAACCACTCAGGCACGTTCGAACTAGTCAAGTACATCATGAAACACAAAGATAGCCACACAAGCACATGGAGGTAGGAAAACAAGCACATCGTAATATACGAATAATGCAACACACGTTCATCATAGCACATGAAGGTAACATTTCAAGAGTTCGAAAGCAACAACACAGCTACACTATGTCACATGAAATTAGCAACTCAGGCACGTTGTTGTAACAAGCACACGAAGGTAGCAACGCTGGCATACAAAGACAGCAAGGCAATCACTTTGTGGCGTACGAAGGTAACAATGCAGACACATTGATTAGTACACACCTATGATGTACTATAATCTTAATTTTTATTTAATTTTCATTAATTAACAAAATAAAATATAATTAATTTGTTGTGCATCATATATAGTCCAAAGTGGGATCAGAAGGGACCAAGTTTACAGCCAAAGATAAAGTCCGAACCTTACCTTTCTCTATTTAAAGTTGATGGGAAGTTGATCTTAATGGATGTTATCAATACTCCTTTGCAATTTCTCATCCCCATGATTGTGCTTGGTTAGTACTCAATTCTTTTATCTATCGATATGGACACTCTTGAAGCTCGATCACGAATGCACGGGGGGCCAGTGATGTAGACATTCCTGAAGCTCGATCACGACGAGCATGTAGCAACTCTTAACGCCTTCATCCTCGAGTAGTATCCTTCACTCGTAGGCGCCAACTCAACCAAGGATTCTGGCCCTATCCAATCACCCATACTTAAGGATCCTAAGTCATGAAGGAATCGTATCCTGGACAAACACATCAAACAAGGACTCCTAATTACCTTCCAACACTTATTCCCATAATCACTCCTACAAGAAAGGAGATGAGTCCTACTGGAACTACACTATCAACCCCTATAAATACACCACTCTCATTCATCGTTAAGGTACGTCTTTACATATATGTTCAGCACATATTCTCTCTCTGATTAAAGTATCGGAGGGGCGACGAAGACACCCCTCGACGCCTTTCTTTCAGTTATCGAAAGATCGCGTTCGTGCAAATTATTAGTCGTTAAGCTCGAAATTGATCAGGTGCAATTTTTGGCATCATCACTGGCGCCATCTGTGGAAGGTGCGCGAACAAGCCGCCCTACTAGTCGCCTTATACCAAAATAGGACGACAAAATATTTTAACAACAAGGTCAAACCCAGAAGGTTCAGGGTCGGAGATCTGGTGCTCAGAAAGGCCGAAGCTGCAGGTTATACCCTAGGTAAACTTGGTCCGACATGGGAAGGACCCTATGAAGTCATTAGACCAGTTTGAAAAGGAGCATATAGTTTGAGGGACATGGCTGGAAGACCACTGCCAAGACTTTGGAATGTTGACAATCTCAAAATTTATTACAAGTAGAAGTTCCCGCCTTCTATGTGGGGTTGAGCTTAGTTTTGGATTCACTTTGGAATTGCAAGCTCCAAGGCATAGCTGAAAGATCGCTACCAAGTAATAGTCACTACCTCGTCTGTGGGGTTAAGCTTAGTTTTATTTTTGTTACGGGCTTGCATGCCCCACGGCTCTTCCTTGCTTCTAGTTTACTTTTTGATTGGGCTTGCATGTCCCATGCATTTTCTCTTAATATGAAATAATAGTTGGGCAACAACCAATGTCAGACTTTTTCCTAATATTTTTCCAAAAAAAACTGTCACGAGTAGGCACCTTCGAGACATGCTACGAGTATGATCTCATCGAAAGACCTGTCACGAGCAGGAACCCTCGAGACATGCTACGGGCATGATCTCATCGAAAGACCTGTAACGAGCAGGCACCTTCAAGACATGCTACGGGCATGATCTTATTGAAAGACCTATCACGAGCAGACACATTCAAGACATGCTACAGGAACCTTCAAGACATGCTTCGGGCATGTATTATATTAATACATTTTTTAATACGTTTGTTTTATGATATGAATGGATGTAGGTCGAAAAGGTATCACCGAAAACTTTATCGGTAGCATGAAGGAGACAAGAAATGCTTGAATTCTACGAGGAGAATATATTACTGCAACTATTGAAGTCTTCAATATAAATTACTATGCACATCATATAAAGATAGGCTTACTTATTAAGAAATTATAATTAATATTGTTGAAAGTATAATTTTTTCTTACATTTTTCTAATATGCCCATACATTAGATAATGATTTAAATAGAATTAATTTATCTTTATTGATAACAATATACATTAAACACATGTATATTAGAAANTTCAACCAAAAGTTGCAAAATATGAAATTCTATTCAATAGATTTGTTGGGAAGATTAATGTTATTTTCGGCACGAATGATTCACCTCAAAGAGGCAATAGTACTTGAATAATTCTATTTGTACAATCGAGGTAGTCAATCGAAATTCAACTTGTACAACCGAGGTTGACAATCTCTGACATGTGTGCGGTGTTCGCGGGTTTAAAAAATTCAACTAAAAAAAAGTGGACCCCCCATGTGAGTGGTTGTCACCTGATGTTATCAATCTTGATTGTACAATTAGCATGATCCTTCAAGAATTGGAAAACAAGTTTCCTATGCTTTGAGAAATACAGCCATTTGGCAAATCATTTATCATCGGATAATACTATCCATCATTAGCTGTAATCAACACAAACAATCAAGAGATCAATTTTTTAGAAACTTAGCGTTGCGAGTACAGAAATTTGTACCAATGTGTGGAGCTAATTCAAGAATTGGAAAACAAGTGTCCTGTGAGAACAAATCAAGAATCAGTATTTCACATGAAGAACACAATTTTATGCTTTGAGAAATGCTGCAATTTCATAGCTATCATTTATCATCGGATAATACTATTCATCAATAGTTGTAATCAACACAAACAATCAAGGGTCCATTTGATTGCAAATGTGGAAAATGGGTGAGAAAAAATGTTTTACAGGAATTGACTTATCTAGAAATTGTTTTACTGTGAATTGTAATTAATTGTGTTTGATTGGTGTTATTTTCCATTTGGAAAATGTTTAAAGTTTGGTGTCAGTTTGACTTCTTTTTTATGAAAATTATCCATTAAAGTGATAATTTTTTCTACCATTACGTCTAGAATTTGTTCCAATTGCCAAAAAATGAAAAAAAATTACCATACTGAATACCATTCGTTTGACTTTATTTTATATGAAAATTGTCAATAAAAACGATTTTTTTTTTATCATTGTGTTTAGACTTTTTTCCAATTGCCCAAAAAAATCTTTTACCACAAAAAAGGCAAGAAAATCAATTCCACAATTCCAAAGGAAAAAGGGCGCGTGAGGCTCATCCATGGTGGTATAAATGACTCCATTAATCAATATTTTCAGTTCGAAGAAAACCCTATACCCAATTACAATATTTTCAGCCGCCAAAAGACCTATCCAGACCTACTGAAGCTTCCCCTTGGCATGACCATCCCTTGTGCATAAAAGAAAGAGAACCAGCAAACGAGCTCATTTAACTATCACGCGTTTAGAGTATCTTACTGGATCTCCTTGTGTCATGTTCAGAATGAATGTTTAGCTGCATCTATAGAAATTGACTAAAGTACACATTCATAAAATATCTTGATGGATTGAAGCCGCTCAATATCACTGCAAGGAAGACAAAATGTTCAAATGCAAGGCAAAAGAAGAGAGCGCATAATAAAAACTAGGTATTGAGATACTTACAGATAGGGGAAAGGACTATGACAATGCCAATTGGATATAGAAATAAAGTAGTTCTCTCCAAAAAGGGCAATACTGCATCATTGGAGAAGACAAACCACCAAAAGAGAAATTATTAGTAGATATAAATTTTGGCAAGAGTTTTTTTTTCTGTGCGCGCTTTTTACAGAAAATCAGAAAGCCCAGAATCAGAGAAAGGGGGAGCATATAATAAATTATGAAACCCCTAGTACGTTAGCATATTAGTAAATGGAAAGGCAAGTCCTTCAGGTCAAGTCGATCTTACCATCATAGCCTAAAAAATTGAGGTAATGATAATAGGAAAGAGCCACCATGAAGAGCAAATTTGATAACAATTCAGGAACAAAACCATGAGCTACCAGAAGAGGTGATAGAAAATAATGCACAACTGCCAGAAAATAGAAGATGTCAGCAGCATTTCAGCATATATTTAGACTATACTCCAAGAAGATAAGTAGCTTCACATCATACTGACCATAAAGCAACACGAACATTGGGAAGAAAGAGTTGCAATGTACATCAAAGGCATACAACCTTCAGCACATAGGTGAAAAACTAGTCAGCAAAGAAACCCCATTTACAACAATAGAAGTGTGACATTCCCAACAAGTGCAAAAAATTCCATTCATCGTAAATAAAGATATTATCAAATAAAATGTAGATGTCAAAAGTGGAAGGGAAAAGCTGAGAACTTGCCACTCTACCCTTTGCTCCACCACATGGCTGTTTGCAGCTTCTTCTCGAAGATAATTGTTTGTAAAGAACCTGCATAAAGTTTGCTGAGTGAGTCTCGATTTTGTCACCTTAAGGAATCATGAAGGATTATTCCCAAACGATGCACGATTTGATCAAAGATAAAGGTAAGGTTGTGATATTAAAGATTCACCTTGATAGCTATTATAATTATCTCAAAATGGTCCTTCAAGGAAAAAAAAAAAAAAAGGGAAACCAAAATTTTATGAACCAGGTGAAGAGGAAAGCAAGATGAAAGGAGATCTCCATTAACTGACATAATTTATTTCCCCTTTGATTAATTTCCTATTAATTTTGTAGTTCCATAAACTTCAGAGGATGGCACTTCCAGATCAACAAGTTTAAATATAGTTGACATGAGGACAACTCCTGATGCTCCAAGCTTTTGAAGGTTTATGCAAATCCAACATGTTTGACAAGTTCAAGTCTTAAAGCATGTCGTGTTGATCCATAAAGAAATACAGATAAGATGCCTGGTTCTACCTGAAATTTCGTTAATTCGATTATCATCTAAAATTTATTTTATATTCCATGATCATAAATTTCACCCTGCAAATTTCATTCTTTATATAGTAAAAAAATGAGAATAATTAATATGCCTCATATTAACTTTTGAGGACTAATATAATTTGAGACCTTGGGAAGAAATTCAGCAATTTTTGGCCCAAAACCAGAATTCCCAACTTATTAAGTGTATGAAGTGTATGGTCAGGAAAATCAGATTTACTTCTTCCACAACATTGCACAGAATTACACCAAAGCACTTTAAAGTCCTAGATTTTTTGGAAAAGGTAAAATAAAATCACTAGAATTGCTTCCTGCATCATATTAATTCCATTCTTCAATCCACCCCAACTCAAATCATGGAATAGCATTTCTTATGGGGTTTGCCATCCAATTATGCACAGATAGGTCTGCAAATGTAGAATATTTCTCCATTCAACCTTTACCACTGGGAGTCTAGGACAAGGCCTTCCCTCATTTTTCTCTAATAAAATGATAAAACTTAACTTGAATTTCACAAAATTAAATTAGAAGTTTGGCCTAGAGAAGAAGGTTAAATTGTCCTTCTAATTTGAATTCAATCACCCAAGTTATAAAATTATGACAAGATCACAGTTTCACAAACTAAAATTAAAACCAACCGAGATTGTAAAAAGGGTACTTGCAGTGATAACTATTAATCTATTTATATATATATCAGCAGTTGTCCTCACCAACAAAATGTAGCCAAAACTGCCCCAGTTATTAGGAAATGGAAAAGAAGTACTGAAAGAACTACAAAAACAGCATGTCCTGCACTATGATCATACCTGAAACAAATGACAGATAGCACATCGTTGGAAGATCAGCATTAATGTGCAAATACAATAATATGTGAAAGGAAACATTCTGAACAAGTTAGAAGGACAATGACATGGAAGCTTTTCTGACAAAAATCTCCAAATGTTAAAAAAGCAAACATGATGTCCTAAGTATCAAAACTAAGAATTGACTCATAAATAGTCTTTGATTATTCAAGATATAACCAAAAGAAACCTCCTACAAGTCTAGTCAATAACAATATTACTAAATCCACCATAGAAAGTAAGTTCACAGACACCTACGCTGCACAATAAGCTATTGTAGAAACTGCCAAAAGAAGAGTGCATATCACAACAAATGCAGGATCATCACGTGCCCATTGGTTCTTTGTTTCTGCAACAAAGAAACATAAGAACAATTATGAATTCTGTGAGTTACAAACCTGTCAAATTTATCAAATTGGTTGTTCCCTGTCATAATTTAGATAAACTCAGAGAAACTAAGTGGACGTCATAAAACAAAGATGAAAAGCAACCAACAAGAAACTTGGTAATCATGCGATATACTTGAAGCAATATACGAAAAGTGTAAACTCATAACACAGAAATGGTTCAGAAGGTCTAACATAAATATGTGCTCGGGCTAAAGCTACTGCTATCACATCAACAAAAGTCTCCAACGAATTGTTCTAGTTCTAAACTAGCTAAGCAGCATATGTCTTTGAGGTTTAAAATTAAGGCCTGTAAAGATGACAAGCAAAATTTATTTTGTTCACAAAGTCTTTGGTGGCATTCATCCAGAACCATGCCAATTTAGTCGGTTTATTGATAGAAAAATGCAATGATTATAATGTTGAATGAACAGGATTCTTTAAGTTGAAAATCTTTTGACATATTAGTGCTTAAAGATGACAAGACCAAAATGCACAGCATAGCAAATAGAGACACTGGCTTAAAAAGATGGCAATATAATGATTTAAAATGATGTATATAAGTGGACTAAAAGTGGAAAAAATAAAGAATACTTACGCTTATGGTACTTCGTGTGTTGATAACTACATCCATTTCATTGTACATGCCAACATGAAGAATTATCATCAGAAACTCAAAAATATTGTAAATAAATCATCAGGACATCTATTTTTCTTTAAGAAACAAAATAGAAAATTACCAGTAACACAACTTGTATGCAAAATCAATAATAATAATCCGCTTAAAAAACTGTCTCGTACACTATCAATCGCTGCCACCACTCTCAAAATACACATACTACCCCTTAAGTACATTTCAAACCATTATGCACTGGTTGGGTACTAACAAAAATAGGTTTACTAATTCAAATTTCGGAGGGGTTGAACAAGCTGCATATTGAATTAGTTACTAAATGGATATAACCAACACTATTGAGTTCATTAAACCAATCAGAATTAGAAATTACAAGAAATATAGAGAAACGGCAATAAGTATAAAACCATTTCTCCTAGAATGTGGATACTATAATTCATACAATGATGTAGGAACATAATTCACAGCATAGACAAGCATACAGCATGATGTAGGTTCTTTGAATAAAATTCAAGAACTTTAGATGACACTATTGAATTTTTTAGATAACAACACTAAATTAAAGTAAAGACAATGTGCTGCCAATCCTGGTGTAAAAAAGTCAACTTTCATTTTTTTTAAAGAGTAAAGACATTTGCTTCCAATCCTCATGTAGTTAACTTTCATTTTTTTATTTGAACAATTTTGCCTCCATAATTTTAAATAGAGAGGAGCTAAATAAAAGAATAATTCAGTATGCAAAAATTAGTGTTCCAAAATTTGGATGACCATCCAATACTCAATCAGTAAACTTGAAAAATAACTCATGCCACCTACAATCTGTAGATTCCAGATACTTACACCACTTTCGGGGAGGTACATAGATGAAGTATTTGCCAGAAAGTATATTCAATGTCCATTTGTTGCCACTGCAGCCAACCGAAAGAAATGGATGCCATTTGAGGAAAAGAGTAAAAACCGATGTATTTATAAATTCATGAGAGATAGAAAGCGCATTGCTTCAATCAGGATACTGAAATTCACAGAGATCCAGAAAAGAAAGGCAAATTTCAATGCTATGTAGACAGTCATCAATTGTGTGCATGACAGATCACAAATTAAAATATTGGCATGTCCGCAGGTGAAAGTTAAAGCACTGAAAAGATCTGACAGATCACAATGGTTAAGACAACTTTCTCTGAAGCCTACTCAACTGTGTCAACTATGGCCAACACAAAGGCACTTTGCACTCTACACCTAGAACCTCTGGTAATCATATATTAGTATCATACCAAATTTAAAAACAACTACTCAACTAGTCTTCTGTGCTTCCTGAATTATAATGATACACTAATATCATATCCTTTTTCTTAGGTGTAACTTTCCATGCCTTTTGTTTTCTATGAGCCTTTGAAAGTTGCATCATCAAACATCAGCATCTCATTATTTTTTCGCATTTTCCCAAGATGTTGAAAGTTCCAGTATTCTGGCCTGCCAAAGACTTATTGCATTGCCATTTGAATGTAAAATACTTGTTCAATTGTCGCAACTCCAGGATTCGAACCCATGAAATTTTCTTAAAAGAGATTTAAATTGAATCTTGATACCAATTGGACTTGAAATGAAGGATTGTCCGATAAGGGTGGCTGATCCTTTCATACTTACTGGTTCTATAAGCCAGTGTCATATTGAAACCAAACCAACCCAAACATAAGTCCAGAAACTGACTACCTTCAATGTGTGTACTTCAGTTTCAAAATTTGACTTCCAAAAGCACACTTAAACCAGCTTCATCTCATTAGAAATAAAAATTATGGTAAGTCTGGGAGTTAGTTACCAAACAATACGTAATTTATCATCACTTAGAGTAATCATAATGGAATTACAAATGATTACTAGCAAGCCATATCTCATTATAGAAGACATCTAATCAAATTACATTGCATCTACCGCTGGAACCAAGACTGGTGCCTCCCATAAAGTGCCGGATGAAAGTTTCATAAACTTTTCTTCAGCTTGTCCTATTGGACTGCTCCCCATAAACTAGATAAACCCCAAAAATTTACGAAATTATCTTGGATGAGACTTAAATTTTTAGATTATAACTTCCTTGGCGACAAGGTTAACAGATAATCATTGAGTGGCTTATAACATCACAGCAGAGTGAAATGAACGTCCT